CCACCCCATTCCGATGGCCCTGCGGTGACTGCGGTGACTGCAAGCCAGTATCACTGATGCTGCTTATCGATGCCGTGGAAGTAGAAGGGAACCGCGATCGACGCTGGGGCAAGTCGTGTTCAACGGGCCGTCCAGATTTTCGGCCTCGACCAAGCTGAAGGCCGTCCTTCGCGACAGTAGACGTTGCACCATTCCCATGCTCCAGCACTGACTGCGGGCCAATACCATTGGTGTTGCTCATCGATGCCTTTGACCNAACGGGTGCACCCCATTCGATTCCTCGACCATGCCTATGACCGCTCTCGTCGACACCAGACGTTCCACCGTTTCCATAGTCCGACGCTGAAGGTTGTCTGGTGTCGCTGATGCTTCTCGTCGATGACGTCGAAGTAGAAGAGAACCACGGCCGACGCCGGGGCAAGTCGTCCTGGGCGAGCCCTCCCCATTTTCGCCCTCCACCACTCTTCAGACCGTCCTCACACACAGCAGACGTCGCACTATTCCCAAGCTCCGGTGTTGGCTGCGGGCCAGTGCTACTGCTGTTGCCTACCGACTCCGTCGACGCAATAGAGAAAATAGAGCGACGCTGGGGCAGGCCGTCTTCAATTGGCCCACACCGTTTTCTTCCTCGACAATGCTGGAGGCCGTCATCGTCGGCATCAAGCAAAACACCATCTCTGTGGTCCGTTCTTGACGGTAGTCCGGTGTCACTGATGCTGCATATCGATGCCGTTGAAGCAGAAGAGAACCACGACCGACGCCGGGGCAAGTCATTCTCAACAGGTTCTCCCCATTTTCGCAGTCCATGCCCTCTGGAATCCTTGGCATAATCCGACATGGACGGGAAAACTGGGCGACGGTGGGGTAGGTTGTCCTCGGCAGGTCCTGCTCGCACGCGACCCCAACCACGCCTACTCTCTTCATCCACCACAGGTTCCTGGTAATTCTCACACATCAACACGGACTCCTTTTGTCGTTTATTGCTGCCGTCCACCGAAGCCGTTGAAGCGGAAGAGAAATCCGAACGACGCCGAGGCACGCTATCTTCGACGGGTTCGCCCCATCTCTGAGTTACACTACGTCTATCACCTCGTTTGTCTCCAGTGGGCCGTGTATTCTTGCTGTAGTCGTGCTTAGTCTGCACACCAGGGTGGTCGGGATCATGTGACGCGGCCCCAGGAGTCGACGAGAAACCGGAGCGGCGGTGAGGCAGATCGTCTTCGATGGGTCCTGCCCGTCGACGCTCCCAATCACGTCGAGCATCGATCTCATCAACAGCATATTCCAGACCATGATCGTGTTCCAGCACTGACAGCAGGCCATGATCGTCGATGCGCCCTTTCGAACTTCCCAAGTCGGAGAACAGACAGGAACGACGCCGGGGCAAGCTATCGTCCATGAGCCCTCCCCTTTTTTGTGTTCGACTTTCCTCATGCTCCGGAGCAGACCGAACGACGTGGAGGTTGTCGGCCCGGTCAACCAACACCCCTGGAGCAAGCAAATAGCCTGGGCGACGACGCGGCAAATCTTCCTCTGTCGGTCCTCCCGGTGTGCGACCCCGACCGTGATTTCGATCTTGCACTTCTGAGATAGCTCCCGTGTCAATGCCATAATCCTGCATCGCCTGTTCGGCGATGACATTATCCACACTCCCCAACATCGAGGGGGAAAAGAAACGGCGGCGGGGCAGATCGTCCTTGGTAGCACCTGCTTGGTTCTGCCTTCCATAGCTTCGGTGCTCGTCCATTTTCATAGGCTTTGCCATTTCGCCGGATGTATACATGCTTGGGGAGGAGGTACGCGAATGGAAAGAGTATCGCGGACGACGGAGAGGTAGATCATTCTCCATGGGTAATCCTTGGCCGCTCGAACGTCTTCCAGGGGAGCATTGCTCAGTGTTGGCATCCACGTGCTCCTCGTACCAATATGAAGCACCAGAACGGCGACGTGGCAGGTCGATAGCAACCGGTACGCGTAGTTTGAAGTACAACTCGGGATGAGGGCCGATTCGCCCGGCTCGCAGACGCGCTTGGAGCCTGGACCCCGTCGGGTCACGGATACCCTCTCTCGTATCCCTCACACCTGCGTTAGAAGCGGGTGGAATTGCATTGGGCATCACTGTAGTACTCGTTTTTTCGTTGACATGCTTGAACAGCCGGATTGACGTCTCACACCCACGCGTCCCAGCATTGATAATGAGGCCATCGATGTTGTTTTACCACACGGAATGGTCTGCATACTTCTGCATTTTGAAGGCCTTCGTGGATTCAATCCACAAAAGCCCGCCTCTCAGACCCGTGGTCGAGCCCTCCCGCGGTCGCACTTTTCGGGTTCCAAACGTATTTCGCGACAGGAACTTACATGCGAACAGGTTGTTGCCGACCATTCTGAACCAGGTGGGTGCCCACAGCCGGAGCGTGCGACGGGTGATGAACTCTCGCTCAGCGCGCTGCAAGGAGAGTGAATGTTCAGCGAGGCAAAGGCGTACGCATGGCTTCCGTGCATAAATCGATTGGCTCCTGCACGTAAAAGGCAGCAGGCATGGTAGTTGGATCTCTTTCACCGAAGCTAGGACGACGCCGGTGCTAACCTTCAACGCGCGTAGGCGGATATCTAGGAGATAGTCGTTCCACCTTCGTGTTCTGCCTTTTCAAAACTGCTATAACTTTCATCAATCTGTGGTCGATACATACTAGATGCTGATGCCAAATTTAACCGCCTTCTGGGACTGCCATACAAAACGACATGCGCGACTGAGTTGCCCAAGCGCGAACGTAATAGTTTTGCAAGCTCTCCGCCGTACGAACTTCACCAAACACATATCCGGCACGTGTGCTGAAAACGTTTCACCGATACTACGATGGCTAAGGCTTGTCTTTGCACTCACGTCATGTTCATTCTCTCTGGCCTTGACGCGTCCCCTCCTGCTTTGAACAACCCCCCATAGTGACACGCAAGTATCCAAGTAGAGGGGTACCACCAGTGCTGTACAAGCGAGGGACGTTGCAGCGCGGATCAGGGCGGTCAGCGATCCAAACCCGAAATTCACGGGCGACACAATCGCTTTCCTGCTGCTGCCTGCCTGTGTAAAACCAACGCTGTTCGACATTCTTGCCAGCGACAGGTACGGTGGAGAACACATGGAGGAGCACGCGGAGCGCTCCCAGAAGAAATGCAGCGCCCCGAGGTACTAGAGCAGACTGACTGATAGGACCAGTTGGCAATACGTCAGATATATTGCTGGGAGTTGCGTCTTTACGTTCAGCCGAACCTCACCCGCAACACAAAGTTGTTGTGTGACCATGACTGCCGTGTCAATCCCGTTTGCTGTCGCAGTCCCGTCGAAAATGCTAGCGGAAGTGGCCAGCATCCCCGTACAAACCGCGTCCGTCAGCATAACCATTGCCCCCATCGAGTTCAGAACGCTGCGTGCACCAAACGTCCAGGATATAAAAAGAAATGGAGTGCCACAAGGAAAGTCTGGTTTCTCCTCCAAATCTTTTTTCGAACACGACCAGGTCTGAAGTTTCCCAAGTGGCACTTGTCGTGCATCGTACAAGTCTGTACGCGTCAAGACGACTGCAAAAGCGTTGTCTTCGTGGTTTTCGGTGGGGTACATTCCGCCGAGTCTGCCCCGTACATATCGGCTGCCAGGTTTGGACGTTACGACACAGGAAGAATCGTTAAAACCGTACAGCTCCCACGGGTTTCCGGGGAAAAAGATGGTGCAGGGCGACTCCTCATGGTGCGCCCCGCCTTAGTCGACCCGAACACACAAATCAATTCAAACTCAACACAGCTACACGTGGCTCTGGGTAGTAACGGCCATCTACCGAGCAAGAGCGTGACATCGCTCTGGTTTCATGAAGTCTTGTCGTGGGCAGCACACGTTTCGACCAAGCTTAGCGCAACTTGTGCAACAGCTTCGGATGTTCAAACCTCAGGGCCGACCATGCCCCATAAACCTGGGCAACAAAACCTAGGTACCAAAAGATTAGAAAACGATTGTGTGAGGTTATTGCCACGACCATCGCTACTCTGAACGGTGGTTGATGGCGTCGTGAGTTTTTTTTTCTTAGATTTCTGTACAGAAAAGAGAGCGGGTCGTGATGGTATCCTGTGTGTATGAATCGCGTTACTTACCCGCCCGACCGTCAACTCTGGCAGAACAGTCCCAAGAATTCCGAGAATGCAA